TGCATTAAGCCACAAGATTACACATAGAGATTGGGAATAAAACTTTTTATAGATTGAATAAGGAAATAACAAAGTATCCTTTAGGGTTTCATCAAAGACCCCAACAGAAAAGTTTATTATACATTTAAAAAAAAATTGTAAGAGTGAAATCTAAAGAAAATATGAAACGATTAAGAATAACTGACTAGAAAACGTTCTTGATGTCTGCAACCATATTTTCTTTTCTCCTCCTCCAGTCCCCTGCTACTTTTTTAGATCATTCCCTTTTGATAGAGTTCCAGACCTAATATTATGACAAAGTCCAAATCTAATGTGGCACGTTCCACAGCCATGTCAAATTGGCACATGGTCGTGTCTTCCTCGACATTACATCAATTTTCACTTTTTAGACACGATATGGTCGTGTCTCTCAGACACACGACCATGTCTCTTTCACTAAGCGAAACAGAAATGCTGCATTCTTAACATATGGCCGTGTGTTAACTTAGTATAAGGCACACGGCCGTGTCTTTTAGGAATATGGTCATGTCTCACTCCTTCTCAGAAACAGACACGATTGTTTTTTAACACATGGTCGTATATCAACTCCCCCACACTTGAGGTTTTGTTTGTCCTCAAGCAATCTTAAATCCATTTCACAGCAAAACCATTAATAAAATCCTCCTCATCAGGACTATATTACCTCATGATAACACAAAATAATATGTACAAATGCACAATCATCTATGGAAGACAATTCAACAACTTCACAATATAGACCCCATCTAGTCCCATCTTATTCTTAAAAATTAAGTATCCAAAATATTCTATGAATCATTCAATCATTCGTAATATCCAAACTTTATAACCCAAAACATAATCAAGCTCAGTTGGCAAAAGATTCGGCATATATGCAACTTTATTTTTACTTTCTTTTTTAAAGCACCTTATTAGTTGTCCGAAATGTTAGTCAACCTTTTTACGCGAGTGCAAACATTGGTGATGCCAGTCCCTGGTTACTTAGTTGGTCACACTTCTGAATGGCCACTAGCTCTACTCATAACATCATTTTATTCTTCGAGTCAAATCGATTCACTAAGGAGTAAACTCTCCATACTAAAGGCAATTACATTCCCAGGGGCTCAAAATTGAGACCTTTTGTTAAGGTAGCATAGCGTCGAACTGTTAAGCTATGTCTCTTGGTGGTGTAAAATTGAGTGATCAACGAAGTAGTTTTTTTTTCCTACTAGCTTTACTCATAACCACCATTTTATTCTTTGAGTCAAATCAGTCCACTAAGGAGTAAAGCTCTTCCTACCAAAGGTAGCTGCGTTCTCAGGGCTCAAATTGGGGACCCCTGATTAAGCTAGTATAGCGTCGAACTGCTAAGCTACGCCCCTTGGTGGTGTAAAATTGAGTGATCAACAAAGTATTTTATTATTATTTTTTCTTTTTGCATACATTATCATCTAATTCTATACCAAAATATATTTTTTTTTGTAAAGAATTATTCAGTTTAGACAAAGGAACGAATTTTATGACTCAAAATATGTAGAAGATTCTAAACTCTTAAAACTTGAATAAACTAAATAAGGTCAAATACTTCCCCTTGATAAACTATTTTCACAATAAATTCTATCCCAGTACATAATATT